TAAGTGGGATTACTTTATGCATTTTTAGAACATACAAAATTCAATCAAATATTTTTTACATTTCTATTGTAAATAATATTATTTGAAGGAGATTTAGGAATTATTATCTAATTCTTAATATGAAAAAAATTACAAAATTATTTATAAAAACACATAGAAATAAATATTCTATTTGAAAATTATTGATAGACAATTAATTATACAATTATTGTTAGATTTTTTTTATTTTATTACTTTCCATCACAATATGCTTTATGTTATTTCATTTTTAGACTTATGTTTATTTAATAAGTTATATTCCATTTAAAAATTGTTGGTTTAGTGATTATATAATTATTAATAGTTACCATAATTGGAAAGTAAAAGAAAGTTGTTAAGATTATTATGAAACTTCATTTATCTTCATACCTTAAAGTGAGTATAACAATTTTATTCAATTATATGTGATAATAATTGAAATTAAAAAATTATAATAATTTTAATAATATTATAATCCAGTTTATTTCATTTGTAGATTTTATTAAATTAGTTTTACAAATGCAAATAAATTTGAATTCAATATCAAATATATATTTATGGAAAGAATAATAAATTTTAATACTTAATATATATGATATTCAATTCTTATATAATAATTTTTTATCTTTTTGGGTTGAGGGTGAAGGCTTGAGTGATTCGGTCTGAAATGAATCAAACGCTAATGCTATTAGGGAAATCCCCTTCTAATCAAAAGAGGAGAAGAAATAGTCCGAAGGGCAAGGAATTGATCCCGTATCCAAAGTGTTGGACCAAGTATTTCTTACATTTGATCCAATTTATCTCTCCACTTATAAGAAGGCAAGTTTGAAACAGAGAAGACCGCATTTGAAAGAATGAATTAATATTTATTCCATATATTTGCCCTCTTTATACAAAATTAGTAAATATATTTCTTAAATAGAATCAGNAAAGATGATAATTTTATATATTATTTACAATAGATTATTCTGATACAATTCATTGATAAGCGAATTTGAAGTGTATGTCATTTATATCATCAAAAGTAAATTAAGAAGAAACTTCGGAGTAGTATTCATGGCTTGAATAATTCATATATTTACCTTAAATTGATTGCTTTAAGGCTAAAATACATTTTTAAATACCTTTGTTATTGAAGCTATCAAATAATATATGTAAATTCTAATCAATATTTATGGAATGATTAAATTAATTGATAATAGTAATATTATTATAATTAACTTGGAATATCAAAATAATAATCTTAACAAATATTTAAGTTTTTATCCCCAATAAACAACCAAATATTTGATGTGGATTGTGGTTCAATTCACTGTCCAACACTATATCATATTTGTTGAAGATTGTTAGTAATAACTTTAAGATATTACTAAATCGTAATATATTTTACAGAAAATTATTTTATCATTTTAAGAAGCACGCAAATAAGTGGGATTACTTTATGCATTTTTAGAACATACAAAATTCAATCAAATATTTTTTACATTTCTATTGTAAATAATATTATTTGAAGGAGATTTAGGAATTATTATCTAATTCTTAATATGAAAAAAATTACAAAATTATTTATAAAAACACATAGAAATAAATATTCTATTTGAAAATTATTGATAGACAATTAATTATACAATTATTGTTAGATTTTTTTTATTTTATTACTTTCCATCACAATATGCTTTATGTTATTTCATTTTTAGACTTATGTTTATTTAATAAGTTATATTCCATTTAAAAATTGTTGGTTTAGTGATTATATAATTATTAATAGTTACCATAATTGGAAAGTAAAAGAAAGTTGTTAAGATTATTATGAAACTTCATTTATCTTCATACCTTAAAGTGAGTATAACAATTTTATTCAATTATATGTGATAATAATTGAAATTAAAAAATTATAATAATTTTAATAATATTATAATCCAGTTTATTTCATTTGTAGATTTTATTAAATTAGTTTTACAAATGCAAATAAATTTGAATTCAATATCAAATATATATTTATGGAAAGAATAATAAATTTTAATACTTAATATATATGATATTCAATTCTTATATAATAATTTTTTATCTTTTTGGGTTGAGGGTGAAGGCTTGAGTGATTCGGTCTGAAATGAATCAAACGCTAATGCTATTAGGGAAATCCCCTTCTAATCAAAAGAGGAGAAGAAATAGTCCGAAGGGCAAGGAATTGATCCCGTATCCAAAGTGTTGGACCAAGTATTTCTTACATTTGATCCAATTTATCTCTCCACTTATAAGAAGGCAAGTTTGAAACAGAGAAGACCGCATTTGAAAGAATGAATTAATATTTATTCCATATATTTGCCCTCTTTATACAAAATTAGTAAATATATTTCTTAAATAGAATCAGATAAATATTGTAGATTTGTAATTATCTTGAATTACCTATCATTTAATATTTTGATCAAATGTTAAATTTGTGCTTAATTCCAGATTAAAATCTTTATCATCTTTAATTAATTTTTTATTTTATTTTTCAGATTTTCTTGATATATATTGATCAGTAGCTCAAATACTGTAACGAAATTCTTTCTTATTTATCTATTGTCATCAGAATAAATTATTATAAATTATTATTAATCTCCATATTGATAATTTATTGTTGGATTACTGATTATTTTAAAATAACTGTTGCATTAATTTCAATTAATTTCATTCAATAGATTTATAAATTAATCAAGCAATGACATTAACGATAAATCCAAACTACAATTTTATTTAATGATCTTTATCCAAATTATCATTAATATATCATTACAACATGTAACTAATTTATCTTCAGATTGATCAAAGCATAAAAAAGAATATAATTGTATTTTTGTCTATTGATATCTCTTATTAAATCTAACCAAATAAAAATTATTTAAAGCCAATAAATGAATATCACAAATCTCATTTTAATCTTAGAAATTAAAAAATAATTTACTGTACCTTTTTGAATTTCTTGCAATAATATAATTATTTTT